CGCAGCCCGCTTCACCCAAGCCCAAATCCACCTCCACGGCCCACATCCCTACCCAACCGAATCCCCAGCCCACACTTCCTAACCCATCCCCAATCCTTTCGGCCCAACCGAACCCCATTCAGCCTACCCCAACCCCAAACCCCATTTCCCTTGGCCCAAATCCAAACCCATCCCCCAAACCCAAAAACCCACACACCCCACTTTCAAAACCCACTTCTGATTGGCAGGTAAAATCCGGCAAAGGTTCTCGACCTCCCACTTCGGAGGAATTGCAATTGCTAGAGACATCTGACGAGCCTGAGGAGCCTGCTGACGATCTTGAGTTTGATGCCTCCGCCCTCCCCTTTGCTTCTACTGATATTGATTTAGGGAGGAGGAGGGAGAAAACCCCTCGTACTCCTGCGGTCCGCACTCCCATGATCTGCACTTTGAACCGTTCGGCCAACACCATTCCTTCGAATAGGGATTTTGAGCCCTATCCTTCGTACTGTCAGGATCCCGGTCCTTCGTACGAGGATGTGCATGAAGTCCGCTATCATTGTGATGGTCGTAGGTACGGTGAGGATTCCGACTTTTCTGACGAGGAGGAGGATGACGTGATCTGGGCTGAGGAGAAGGAAGACATAAGATACAAGTTTGAGCCCAAGTCCAAAGTTGGATACTATGGGAACAATCTTCAGCCTTTTCAGCGGGACTTAGAGAAGGCTGGGTTGTCCCCGCCGCGGAACTACAGAAAGACGCGCTCGAGATACCGTGATTATGAGGAGCGGTTCTTGGGCTGATCCACTATCCTGCTATCTGGTTTTTTGGCTTTGACAGTCGGCTCTACTTCATTCTATATTTTTTCTGCTGTCTTAGTCATTATTCATTTATTTTACTGCATTTCTTTTCGGTGAGTTGGAGACTTGTTCCTTCCACCAAGACTCTTTTATTTATGCGAATAAAACTGTTTTTCTTAAAAAAAAAACCCCTAAACCCTAAACCCTAAACCCAAAAAAAAAAACCCCTAAACCCTAAACCCTAAAAAAAAAACCCTAAACCCTAAACCCTAAACCCTAAACCCTGGTGGGACGGCAGGAGACTCATTTTTAGGCGGAGCAAGAAGACCAATAAAGACTTGACCACAACCCACGGCGATGGCGCTGCTCCATTGAACCATGGCAATCCCGAGCGCCGCCTCCGCCAGCTTCTTCTCCAAGCCTAGAGCTCTCCATCCTTCTCCTCCCAAACTCCTCGCTCGCCGCGTCGCCGCCATTTACCCGGACGTGGCACGATCCGCTTCCATTTCGGCCTCTTCGAACGGCCGTACTCTCAATCCTAACCACCGTACGTTTTTGCTGCTTTCCTTTGCCGGCGGCGGCGGAGATGGGGGCACCAACGGGGGGGAATTCCCAGGCGGCGGCGGCGGTGACAGGCACGGAGACGGCGAGAGCGGCGGCCATAGCAGCAACAATCGGAAGGAGGCGTTGATGGCGCTGGCGGAGTCCGGGAGATCGCTGGAGAGCCTGCCCGGCGACTTGAAGGCGGCGATTGAGAACGGGAGGATTCCGAGATCGATCGTTTTAAGGTATTTGGAGCTCGAAAAATCAGCTTGGCTGGGGTGGCTTCTCCGGTTCGGAGGCTTTAAGGAACGGCTCTTAGCCGACGATCTCTTCCTCGCTAAGGTCGCCATGGAATGCTGCGTCGGGATCTTTACCAAGACTGCTGCTGAATATGAACGCCGCAGGGAAAATTTCTTCAATGAGCTGGAAATTGTCTTTGCAGATGTGGTTGCTCTGCCCGGAACATCATTTTCATTGTTGCAGAGATTTGGTGCTATAGCACGAAATGGGGCAAAACTCTTTGCAGTTGGCACTACTTCTTCTATGGTTGGTACCCTTGTGACGAATGCACTGATAAATGCACGAAAAACTGTTGATAAGGCCTCGGCGGGGGAGGTGGAGAATGTGCCCGTGTTATCAACCAGTTTTGCATATGGTGTCTATATGGCAGTCTCTAGCAACCTTCGGTACCAAGTGTTGGCAGGTGTTATTGAACAGAGGATGCTGGAGCCTTTGCTGCACCAGCACAAGCTGGCTTTAAGTGCACTTTGCTTCGCCGTTAGGACTGGCAACACATTCTTGGGCTCATTATTGTGGGTCGATTACGCACGTTGGATAGGGATTCAAAAGGCAGATGAAACTGAAAGATAAAAGGGCTTTTATATGGGATTAATAAAGGTTAGGTTTCATTAATGGATGCATCCCCCTCAAAATTAGCTGACTTTTCATTTAAACAGATTTGATTGGAATTAGGTAGTTGATGTACTGTGGCATTTTTAGGAATCATTTATTATAAGCCAAAAAAACCCTAAACCCTAAACCCTAAACCCTAAACCCTAAACCCAAACCCAAAAAAACCCAAGCGCGAGAGCTCCTCCCTTGGCGATTTCGGCAATCCACTTTCCAGATTCGGCGATCAGCTTTTTCCGGCCACCATGGCCGGCCAACGGCCGCCGGACCCCTCCCATCATCCTCCTGACGTTCAGCCGGTTCTATCGAGCCATCACACGCCGGAAACAGCTGCTGGAAACGTCCCCGGCGTTGCTGCGATCTCCAGCACTTTGCCTCCATTTTTTCCGGCGTATTCCGGCCACAACGACGCCCCAGCTCTCTTCCAGTCACTTCTCGGTGGACACACGATTCTGGGAAGCCATTTTGCAGGTCCATCCGTTGCTGGAGTATTGAGATCGTATCCCACAACCATGGCGGGTCTCCAGGTCGGGTTGCCTCCTTTCTCCACCCTTCTCGGCCAATCCAGCATCGCGCCCCATGCCCAATCATCTTCCTATGTTCAGCCGCAGCGAATAAGCGAAACCCCAGCCATTTTGGTGCCCGGAGGCCTGAGCTCTCCTTCTAGTGCGTCCACAACGGTGATAATGGGCAATCATGCATCAAGTCCTAATCTTTCTATCTCTCCCAGTGTTCAGGATGTTTGTGGGGTTCCTTCTACTGATGTGGTACCTTTGTCGCAGCCTTTGGACGTTGGGCAAGGTGCAATGGTTCCTCCAAGCTCTCTTCCCTCATGCACACCAACTGCTCGACTAAATGTCTCAAAGGGGAACTCAACTGCTGTGACAGATTATGTGAAGATCAAAATCCCTCTTGCTGTTTTTTCCTCCTTTAAATGGCAAGAAATTGATGGGGCTGAGCTCAAAGGTTTGGTGGATTCAGAATATGCTTTATTGCATGTACCTTTACCTTCCATGGAACAATACAAACGTCATAATGTCCATGGCGCTATTTTTATTGCACTTATGGGACCAGATGGGTCTGCCTATGGAGAGGATCCAATGGAAGAGGTGCAAATACGTCCTATCACCCAACCTCATTTGTTCCAACCTCACACTTTAGAACTTCCACATGAAAGAAAAGCTCGGTTGGCTAAAGAATCTGCCACTCCAGGTGTTTCTACGGCTGGGACTGCTATGATACCTCTTAATGTTTCTAAGGATAAGGAAGTGGCTGCCCAGACCCCTTCAAACCAGGCCCTTTCTCATACTCCAAGTCTTTTGGGTCCTAGGCCTATTAGCCCTTCACATGTTGGAGGGGGGAAAGGGGTTTCTTTTTCTGGTGTTAGTGCAGCTCCTTTGCAACATAAGGGTGATATTCCCCCTCAAAAAACATTACCTAAAGACACTACGGTGGTGCATGCTTCACGGGCAGTAGGAAATCAGAACACTTCTAAGCCGTCGTTGGCCCAAGCTGTTGCAGGCCCTTCAGCCCCCAGCGCTCCAAAATCCTTCGCACAAGCTGTGGCAGGCTCCTCCACGCCAGGTATCTCTTTACGGGCTAATGTTGCCCGCCCTTGTGCTATTTTATCTAATGTGGTTGTGGAGGAGAAAGTCCCTACTTTTCATAGAGGTACGCCGGCTGTTGTTTTTAAAAAGTCAGAAATGCAACAACTTTCTCAATTGGATAATTATCTCTTGATTGGTAAATTTTCTCATGGTCGTCCGGAAATTGCCACATTGAGGAAGTTGTTTGCTGCTCAATTTATTCTTAGGGAGTCTGTTCAGATTAGTCATCGTGACCCACGCCATGTTATGTTGTTATTCACCCATCCCCAAGATTGTAATGATATTTTCATGCAAGGGCAGATTCAGTTTAACGGACAATTTCCCATGCGACTGTTTAGGTGGTCTCCGGAATTTAACGTTAAAACTGAATCGTCTGTTGCACCGGTGTGGGTGACGTTTCCAAATTTGAGGGCGGATTTATTTAATGAGAGTGCCATCCACCAACTCTGTAAACCCATTGGGAGATGCTTGAAAGTGGACGTGGCAACGTCCAGTTTCTCACGTCCCAATGTGGCTAAGGCTAGGGTGGAAATTGATTTGTTGAAGCCTAGGATTGAACAAATATGGATTGGTTTTTCTGATGCACCTGGCGAGGAGGATGTGGGCATGTTCCAGCCTGTGGAATATGAACGCATCCCAAAGTACTGTATGGCCTGTTTCAAACAAGGTCACGATAATTTGTCATGCAATACTTTGGCTCCTAATCAGGATCCGAGAGCTGTTGTTGTTGTTCCCCAACCTTCCACAGCTGTACCCATGACTGCCCAACCTTCTCGACGGAGGCGAAGCAGGAGTAGGGTCAGGCGTCAAAGGGAGGGGAAAGGTATTTCCATTGTTGATGCAGGTACAAGCGCTGGTGGCTCCCAAAGGGAGGAGTCACAGTATGTATGGAGAGAGAAGACAGCGAAAGGGTCCAGACCTATTGAGGTCATGGACATTGATGATGTAGGTAAGGGGGAGGGACCCTCATCTAGCTTGCAGGCCTTTGTGCCCACTTCTTCACATCCCTCCCCGAATGTTGTCATACCTGATGCTAGTTTAGTTCCTTCTACTATTGTTAACGCCACGAGTCCCACACTTGTTGTGGTTGAGCAGTCGGCGTCCCAGATCGTTGAGCCATCTGTTCCTCCTACTGGAGTTGAGCAAGGCTCCGTTGTCGTTTCTTTGCCTCTCTCTACTTCTTCCTCTTCTCCTATTGTCCATTTTCCCGATCCTCAACCCCCCGAGCTGGCCCTTGCTATGTCTAATACTTTTGATGCTTTGGGGGAGATGCGTGGGGACAGCCATGATGTCTGTGCCTTTAATACAGCTGCATCTTCCATTCCTTCCAATTCGGTGGGGAAGGAGGATGACGAGTGTAGCTCACAGACTAGTGACGGGTCCACGGGTGACCATTTTGAGGATCCGACTGACATTGCCCGGGATCTTGCAGCGAGAGGCCTTTCCCCTGCAAGGGAGGCGCCAACTACTAGGGGCAAGTCGACTAAGAACGCCCGAAAAGCAACTGAGCATAAGACGGGGGTGGTTCCTGCTCCACGCAGAGTCACCCGCTCCACTTCTTTGCGTTCCCAATGATGATGCGGTTCCTAGTTTGGAACGTGAGGAGCATCACCTCACAGAGTGTCCTTTCTAAGCTTCGAATTTTACTGAAACAGCATACTCCGGTGTTGTTAGGTATCTTGGAGCCTATGAAGGCACCCTCGCAGATTGACTACTTTAGGACGCTGTTGGGTTTCACGGGAGCTAGGTGTGGTGCTGATGACCAAATCTGGCTCTTTTGGAACTTTGACATTGCACCGTCCATCCATTTTATTTCTCATTTTGCACAGTCACTAACCTTTTCCTTTTCTCATCCTTCTTTTCCTAGCCCTCTTTGGTTATCAGTGGTTTATGCTAAATGTAAGTACAGGGACAGGGAGCCATTGTGGGAATATCTTAGAGAGACACACGCTGCTCTCCCGACTGACATGGCATGGGGGGTGGTGGGTGATTTCAACTGTCTGCTCGATCCTTCAGAGAAGAAAGGCGGCCGGCCATATGCTCCAGTTAAATACCGGCCATTTGTTGAATGTGTTGAGGATTGTGAATTGGTTGATTCTCCTTTCACTGGGGCGGATTATACCTGGTTCAACAATCGAGTGGGTGGCGTGGAGATTCGGAGCCGGATTGACCGATTGCTATTTAACCGGCCATGGATGGATATGTTTTCTTGTTTGGTGCATCACTTGGATAGAGTTGGATCTGATCATGCACCACTGTTGGTGGAGTGTAAGTCTCATGAGCATCCTCCCGCGCGGCCTTTCACTTTCCTTAATGTATGGACAGAGCACGAAGATTTTTAGAGAGTGGTGGCTGATTCTTGGCGGGAGGATATTGCTGGCAGTCCCATGTTTGTTTTTGGTGCTAAGCTCAAGCGTCTGGCACATAGCTTGAAGGGATGGAACCGAGACAATTTCGGTCACATCTTTGATAGGCTTAAGGTGCTTGAGCAGGATGTGCGGGACATTGAGCTACAGTTGCAGACAGATTCTTCCGATGAGACCTATATCGAGTTTAAGCGGCGCTCTACACTTTTGAAGCACCAGTATCGTATTGAGGATGAGTTTTGGCGACAGAAAGCCCATGCGAAATGGGTGACGGACGGGGAGAGGAACTCGGGGTACTTTCACTCTTTGGTGAAGGATCGCCGGCGGAAGCTTTACATTCATCGCATACAGGATGATCGTGGGCAGTGGATCATGGAGAGAGCTGCGATTGCGACGCAGGCGATTGCCTTTTTTCAAGCCATGTTCACTGCAGATCGTAGTGTCACATCTTCGGCCTTAGACATGATTCCACGGCTGGTCACTGTTGATGATAATGAGAGATTATGTGCTGTTCCGGAGATGGAGGAGGTCAAGTCTGCAGTCTTTGCTATGGATTCTCTGAGTGCTGCAGGACCTGATGGCTTTACTGGGGCTTTTTATAAGGCTGCTTGGACGATCATTTGCACGGATTTATTGGCGATGGTGCAGGCTTTTTTCTTGGGCCACGATCTGACTCGTTCCCTCACGCACACTTCTATTGTTTTATTGCCCAAGAAGCCCAATCCTGCGACTTTTGCGGACTTTAGACCCATCAGTTTGTGTAATTATTGCAAGAAGATCATCACGAAGATCATGGTAGTTCGCTTGGCTTCTGTGCTTCCCCGACTGCTCTCCCCGCATCAGAGCGGGTTTGTGGCGGGGCGTTCTATCACTGATAATATTCTTTTGGCTCAGGAGATGTGTCACGGGATGAGGGTAGATAATGAAGATGTCATTCTAAAGCTGGACATGATGAAGGCCTATGATCGGGTCTCTTGGTTTTTCTTGATGTCAGTATTGCGCCGATTTGGATTTTCAGAGACTTGGATCGATTTGATCTATCGGGCCATCTCGAATATATGGTACTCAGTCATTATTAATGGGATTCGAGAGGGCTTTTTTCATTCGACGAGGGGCCTGCAGCAGGGTGACCCACTCTCTCCGTCCTTGTTCATTCTATCAGCAGAGGTTCTTTCTCGCTCTTTGGCCCAGCTGTATACAGATCCTGCAGTTTTTCGGTTCACACAGCCTCGTGATGCCCCACATATTCATCATCTTGCCTACGCCGACGATATTGTTATCTTCACTTCGGCGAGGGGGAACACCTTGGAGAGGGTTCGAGTAGTTTTACAGTCATATGAGCAGATTTCAGGCTAGGCTGTCAACTTCGCTAAGAGTGCATTCTATATGCACCCTAAGGCGTTGGCACCCGTGCTGGAGCGTGTTCGAGATACTCTCGGGTGTTCATTGGATGTCCTTCCATTCACTTATCTTGGTTGTCCTATTTATCATGGTCAGAAGCGCATTCATTACTTTGAGCCTGTTTTGAAGAAGATGCGGGATAAGTGTTGTGCGTGGATGGGGCGCTACCTCTCTCCGGGGGGGAAGGCTATTATGATTAAGAGTGTTCTACAGGCGATCCCGACACACTTGCTTGCTGCACATTTCCCTCCCAAAGCGGTGATATGTGAGATGGAGTCTATCATGACCCGATTTTTTTGGTCTGGCTTGGGAGGGACGTGACGCTATCATTGGGGATCTTGGAAGACTTTGGCACGACCAACGAGGGAAGGTGGGGTCGGCTTCCTTGATCTTATGACTCTGGCTAAGTCTTGTTCAGCCAAGCTCTGGTGGAACTTTAGGACACAGGACACTATTTGGACGGCATTCATGAGGGCTAAGTACTGTAGCCGCGTCCATCCTGTGTCCAAGCAGCGTGTTGATGATGATTCGCACACATGGAAGCGCATGCTAGATATTCGAGCTTTGGTTGAGCCTGTGATTAGATGGCGTGTACTCTCTGGCACGTCGAATTTCTGGTGGGATACATGGTCTAGACTGGGTGCCTTGCATCGCCAGGTCGATGGCTGCAGTGGGTATTGGACTGATGAAGTGGGCGATATGTATCGCTCTGATTTTATGTTTGACCATGATGCCTTGCCACCTGACCTCCTACGGCAATTGCGCCTTGAGCCTCCATCACTTGTCTCTGATCATGCGGATATTCCAATTTGGACTCCCTCTACGGATGGGAAGTTTACTCTTGCTTCAGCTAAGGAGCTGCTTAGACCGCGGAGGGTTGAGGAGGTTGAGGATACTATGTTTAAGAGATGCTGGCAGCGGCACCTGCCTTGGAAGATGTCCTTCTTGGTGTGGCGCATGATGGAGAGGCGCCTTCCCACTGATGATGTCTTGGCGAGATTTGGGCTTGCTTTACCCTCTCGATGTTTCTGCTGTTCGTCGCCAGGACGGGAGACCATTACACATATTCTCTATCAGGGGAGCATGGCGCGGCGTGTTTGGAGTTATTTCACAGAGATTGCCCATATCAGGGGCGCACATCACAGTTTGAGATCTGTCGTGAGTATATGGTGGGCGCAGAAGCCGAAGAGCAGGATGCTCTCGTTCCTGTTCCACCGCCTGCCGATGATCATTCTTTGGGAGCTTTGGACGCACTATGCTGCGTGCAAGTATGGGGATGCTCGGCCCAACTTTGCACGCATTATCTTTCGGGTGGCTACGACGGTGTCGGAGTGCATCTATCGTCGTTGGCCTGGCGGAGGTCTATTGCCTCCCCGCTGGTCGGTAATAATGGAGCATGTTCGACGAGGATCTGGACGCAGGAGGGTGGTGCCTATTCGGTGGGTCCCACCGCCGGATGGCGCCGTCAAGGTGAATGTGGCGAGGGCCCCGCTCCGTGGGGCAAATGCAGCGATTGTGCGCGACTCTACAGGTAAGTTTCTCTATGCTCTTTCTTCTATTGCTTTCAGGTGGGACCCAGTGGAGCATGGAGGGATGGACGTGCTTCTTCGGTGTATTCAGTGGTGTATATCCCAGTCCTTCTTGCGCATCCACGTGGAGTCCCACCATTCAGAGTTAGCTTGCTTCTTTAGGGAGGGTACTCCGTGGTACCTTCATGATGTTTATGCTAGACTGCGTTTCCTCTGTACTATTGCGACGGTCCAGTGGTTTCATTGTGACGTTCGGGCGAATGGCCCGACGACTGAGTTGGCATTGTGGGCCGTGGATAGTGCAGAGGGGACGCAGGAGTTTACTAATATGCAGGATCTTGACATTCGGGTACGATCTCTCCTTCCTATGGACGATCTACCCTTCTTTCGCATTGATGAGGATGGGGGTAACCCCTAGTTGCACTTCTTTGAGTGCCTTAACGACCGCGTCTGCGGTTAAGAGGCGCACGTATGTACCCGCGGTTAAAGGGTGCCCGTTGGTTCCCGCGGTTTGGGGCCACGTGTTGTACCGGCGGTGAACGGTGCCTCTGCGAGATGATGGGCGTAGTCTTGCAGAGTTTCTTTCGTCCCCGTCGACTCCTGCGGCTCCTGGGGTACGTAGGCGCTAGCGTCTGAGGTTTTTAGCGCCCGTAGTTGCCAGCGGTATTTGGCATCCTAGCCCGGGCAGAGGTGGCTGTCCGGTAAAGGCTTTATCCATCTTGCATCACATCTGAGTGCCTTAACGACCGCGCCTGCGGTCAAAAGGCGCACGTACGCGTCCGCGGTAAAGGATGCCCGTCAGTGCTTGCGGATTGAGGATTTGAGCACCCGTGGCGCACACGGAAAGTGCGTATGCGTGGTACCGTCATCAAATCGGTGCCCTCGTCGGGAGACTGGGTGGGGCCCGGTGAGGTTTCTTCCGCCTGCGTCAGTGCTTGCGCGTGAGGTTAGAGCACCCGCTATCTGCCGGCGATAATGGGCTAAGGGTTGGCCACTGACCCATAGTGGTACCTCTTTTCCTTTCTTTCTTCTTTCGTTTTGGACTTCATTTCTTGGATCACTCTTCCTCATCATGTTGGACCTTTGGATTACATTTGACTTTACATTTGACTTTACACATCTTGGACTTGGTTATCTTATATGGCTGGGCTACTTCTGGGATTGGGCCACTTCGGCTGATCTGGTTACTTGGGTTTCGGCTGGGCTTGGGCTACTATGGGCTAGATACTGGACTTCAACTGCATTGGGCCGTGGCTGGTGGGCTTCGGTTTCATGGATGGCTTCGGTTTCATGGATGGCCTGCTTGGTGATTTGGGTTGGCGTGGATATGCTTGACGGACTGGCCGATTTGGGCTTGGACAGCGGCGAGCTTCTTTGCTTGGGCAGGAATTTGGACGCTGGCCTTGACTAGTTGGGGCCGTGGTTTTTGGGCCGTATTTGGTATGGGCTTCATCTGTTGGGCCTCTACTTATTGGATTTGGACTTGATATTTGGATTCTTCTTCACATGATACCTTGGGCTTTCTTGTTGGGCCTTGGACTTCTTGCATACCTTACGTGGACTTGGGCTGAGTTGGATTGGGCTGCTTTTGGACTCTCACAGTTTGGGCCTAGCATTGGCTTATATTTTGGGCTCATCTATGGCTCACTTGGATTATTTTTGCACATATTTTTTCTTTCTTTTTTCATTTTAGCTGGGCTTTTCTGGATTTTGGACTAGACTTATGTCGATTGCATTTCCTGGCTCAGAGCATTCCCTTGATCGGATTATCTGACCTTAGGCCTTACCCTTGCGGGGGTTGGGGCTCCGGGAATGATTTTATTCTTGGATTTAAGTGGAATGTTTTGAGCTGGCTTTGTAATTGCACTTAAGTCTATGTTCCAATATCTGATAAGCTCTTCACATTTTATCTTTGGTTGTTGCTTACTTTTTATACAAGTGAGGAGCCTGTTCCCGCTTGTTCAGACGTTTGTATTCTTTGATTATTTAATAAATTGCATTTTGTTAAAAAAAAAAACCCTAAACCCTAAACCCGTGGTTCCCCCCTGTAGAGATGGTCACAGGGTTGATTGGCGAACCACATCACCCGGGTTCGATCCTCAGAAAATGCATATTTGGAGAAATTTTAAAGAGTTAAGCGTGCTGGCATGGAAGTAGCAAAAATGATGGGTGACCCCCTGGGAAGTAGATTTGGGCTTATGGGGCTGGGCTTTCTATAGTGGGCTATCTACCTCGGGTGTTAACGGGCCCTGGGGTAGTCACGAGGTTAACGGGCCTCGGGCCTCCTGCTTTGTAACCGACCGTTCATTATTAATAATAAAAAAAAATTTAAAAAAAAAACCCCTAAACCCTAAACCCTAAACCCTAAACCCTAAACCCTAAACCCTAAACCCGTGGTTCCCCCCTGTAGAGTTGGGCGCAGGGTTGATTGGGGAACCACACCACCCGAGTTCGATCCCCAGAAGATGCAATGTTGGAGGAATTTTCCAGAGTTAAGCGTGCTAGCATGGGAATGATGGGTGACCCACTGGGAAGTAGACTTGGGTTTATGGGGTTGGGCTTTCTATAGTGGGCTAGCTATCTCGCAAGTTAACGGGCCCCGGGGTAGTCACGAGGTTAACGGGCCTCGGGCCCCCTGCTTGTAACCGGTCGTTAAAAAAACAAAAAAAAAAACAAAAAAAAAAACCCTAAACCCTAAACCCTAAAACCCTAAACCCTAAACCCTAAACCCACCCGCGGCTCTCTCTCTCTCTAGGCGAATTTTCGCCCTTTTGGGCGATTTGCAAATTCCGGCCGCCATGGCCGGCGATCAGCCGCGCCACCCACCCATCCCTGACATCAAGACGAACTCAGAGCACCCAAACTTCCCTGAAAAAGTCGCCGGAAAACGCCAGGTCGAAGGAGGCGATCTCCTTTCTGCGGCGCAATTTTTTCCGGCCGTCACACTAATCGGCGAGGCTCCCAGCTGCTCCTATCTTGTTCCTGACATTCATACGAGTCCAACGCCACCGGCCGTGCTTCATTTGGACGCCGGGAACGCCAGATCGCCGCTGCAACCCGTCACGGCGGTTCTCGGCGGGTCGACGTCAATTCCGGCCACCACCGGCTCAATTGGGGTCGGAAATTTTGTGCAAAACCTTCCTGGACCTTCCACCATCACTTTTGGATCATCAATTGTTCATATTGATCAGGAGAATCAAAACACCCAATTTCGGCCACCTAGGGTTTTTCCGAGCAAAAATCCTTCAATTCAACACGCTACAGGCGAAATTGGAAATGGAGACTTGGATATTCGAGATCCTCACAAGAAGACGGTTCGAACGGCGTTGGTCCCGCCTGTTTCTGCTCCGGTCAATTTTCCGGCGACGGCGGCGCCGGCCACCGGGAAAAATCTTGAAAATCCAAATCATCCTCCTGAACCCAAACAACATCCTCCCAGCCTCGCTCAAGTGGTTTCAGCTTCCAATCGCAACAAAGTTCCTACGCCTGTTACGGAGCCGTTTCCTGATCGCGAGGTCACAATTCATCGGGGTTTGCCCGCTGTTCGTTTCATGCAGTCTGAGGTCAGCCAACTTCCTCTCATTGACAAATATATTCTGGTTGGCAAATTCTCTCATGGGCAACCTAAACTGGAGGTAATCAAGCAATATTTTACTACTAATTATGTCTTTCGTGGATCTGTTTCTGTTGGATGGCGGGATTCGAAGCATGTTTTTATTATGTTCTCCAACTCCCACGATTGCACAAATCTTTTGCTAGAAGGCACTATTATTTTCAATGGGTTGCACCCTATGCGTTTATTCCGATGGACACCTGATTTTGATCCGGAGTATGAGACCTCATTGTCACCTGTTTGGATTTCCTTTTATGGTCTCCCTCTGCATATGTTCAATTTTCATGCATTGTCCTTGATCTGCAAACCCATTGGAAAATTGCTGGGTGTGGATAGTGTCACTTTAGCTAAGGCAAAACCACATGTGGCCCGGGTATGTGTTGAAATGGATTTGCTTCAGCCTCGGCTGAAGGAAATTTTTGTGGGTACCTCGGAAGTTGTGGGTGATGAAGATTGTGGTTTTGTCCAGCCGGTAGTGTATGAGAAGGTTCCATTTTATTGTGATTACTGCTGGCGACAGGGCCATTCTCTGGCAAGATGCAAGCTGAAGGATATTTCCCCACCTCTTACTCCAATTAAAAAGCCCACACCTCAACACCCAATCCCTCCCCCCAAGCCGAATCCTCAACCCAATCCTACTTTTCCTAAGCCTATTGAGCCTAAGCCCAATGAGCCCAAGCCCAAAACCCTTAAATCCCATCCCTTGTATTTTCCCAAGCCTCCCATTTATGTGCCAAAAGCCCAGCAATCACAAACCCAAACCCAACCCCCAAA